GATATAGTTGGGTATCTTCCATAGACATTTCTGAAATATATTACATTGTATGCTGCTGAAGACATGAGCCATCCCCTGGTGTTTTCAAATTGTAATTTTAAAGTCATATAAAAATAATATTAAGTTTCTTTCTTAGGTTGATGAAAATAAGTATAACTCAAGGGTAAGCTTAATGAACAGGGAAAAGAAGTGTGAGGTATTTTGACAGACACTGATTTTTAAAGAACAGGTGCACACAGTGCTAAAAATAGTGTTGTGTCATCAGTGTTAGAGAAGATGTAGGCAAAAAAACAAAAAAAACCCACCATGGTCTCTTTTTCAGTATCAGGCCTTGAGTAACTTAGAGGAATATGGGAGTAATTTAAACATGTACTGATAAAAGGCCAGTGAGTGCCTCCTAAAATGCTGTAGGAATAATACACCCACACACATTTGTTTTTACAAAGCACCTTTTAAACCCACTTTCTAATCGCAGCCTTTTCCAATTCCTGTACGATAAGGAAGGCAGAGGCCACAGGACTGTTGCCATTGGGTGGGTGAGGACGGCAGAGGTCACAGGACTGTTGCCACTGGGTGGGTGAGGGAAGCCAACTCAGAAGTCAGGACGGCTCCTAGGTCACACAGCTGCTTGGAGCCAAGGCCAGGTCTTGCCTGTGGCCCTTCCTCCCTTTGCTTTGCATAAGCAGGTTGACTGAACTTGTAGGTTTGCTCTTCATTCACTTGAAGATTGTATACATATAGTAGTACTGAAAAGCTTTAGGATTAATTATGCCTCATGATACGGATGTCACTTGTGAGAGGCATAGTGAAAATAGCGATCTAGTGTCACAGAGCTGTGGAGTCAGACTGTCTGGTACAAAGTCCTAGTTCTACCAGTTACTAGCTATTACTTAACTGTCTCTCATCCTGTTCCTCAGCTGTAATATCCATGTCTGGAGTCAGTGCACGTAGAGAAGCCAAATGGCACACTAATTTATTGATTTGTTGAAAAAGTCATTAACCAGAATAGAGCAAGTATTAGTGTATCATTCTCCTTTGACGGGGCAAATTGAGAAATGGTAACTTTAGGCCTTCTCAAATCATCTCTACTGTCTATCCATGTGATTCTTCATACTGTTTCTATGATAAAGTTGTAAGAATATAAAAACTAATTTTAACCTGGTTTACTGGCTTAAGACAGCACTCTTGGGGCCAGCATTGTGGCAAAGTGGTAAAGCTGCCGTCTGCAATGCCAGCATCCCATCTGGGTACTGGTTCGTGTCCTGACTATTCCGCATCCAATTCAGCTTCCTGATAATGGCCTAGGAAAGCAGCATAAAATGGCCCAGGTGTTTGGGCCCCTGTACCCGTGTGTGAAACCTGGAAGAAGCTCCTGGCTTCTGGCTTTGGCCTGGCCTAGCACTGGCCATTGCTGCCATCTGGGGAGTAAACCAGCAGATGGATGATCTCGCTCTCTGTCTGTCTCTCTCTCTTTGTAACTCGGACTTTTAAATAAATAATAATTTTTAAGGTTCTTAGGAAGTCATTTTTTGGGTATGTACAGTGCGTTTTCCCCCACAGGGAACTGGGCTCTGAGTGGTACAGTCCTGTACGTGGAGAATGTAACTTGCCTGCCCTGTCGCTGGCCAGGCTCATTACGGGTATCCTCCATTCCAGCCACATTGCGCTGTCAGCAGTAACCATTCACTTACTGTGCTCTTGCAGTTCTTTGGGACTCTGTACCAAGACCAAACTTCCTCTCCTTTGTGCCAACTCTTGCTTCTTTGGCAGCCTTCTGCACTCTTGGGGACTCCTGATGTGGGGCCTCTGTCTTTCCTGCTTGGCATGTTGTTAGAGTGTGGTAAGACACGTAGCTCTCGAGCCAAAAGCCAGTGTCATGCTCGTGTTTCCAAAGTTTGGGAAAGCTGTCTACTTCAACCACTGTTCTAGCCAGTGCATTAGATAAGAATGAGAAAAGAAAGCTTATTTACGGATAGGGCGTATGCTGGAAAGTGTGGTTATTGTGAACAGTAAGATGCTCAGCTTTGGTGATTGGGTATAAAGAGAAGAAAAGATAGTTCAATTGAAAACCCTAAAAGCTATGGGAGGGACCGGCACTGTGGCTTAGAGATTAAAGCCTCTGCCTGCAGTGCTGGCATCCCGTGTGGGTGCCGGTTTGAGTCCTGGTTGCTCCACTTCTGATCCAGCTCTCTGCTATCGCCTGGGAGGGCAGAAGAGGCTGGCCCAAGTGCTTGGGCCCCTGCACACGAGTGGGAGACCGGAAGAGGCTCTTGGCTCCTGGCTTCGGATCAGCTGAGCTCTGGCCGTTGCAGCCATTTTGGAAGTGAACCAGTGGATGGGAGACCTCTTTCTCTGCCTGTGCCTCTCTGTAACTCTGCCTTTCAAATAAATAAATAAACCTTAAAAAAAAAAAAAAGCTATGAGAAGCTTCTAGGGTGGGAATTACATCAATATCGTGTCCATATAACCAATATATTGTTTAGATTCATTCAGAAAAATAAAATATTGAGACTAACCAAGAAGATTGACAATATAGTAAGAGAAAATAAGACAAAATAATAAGAGAAAGGGGAGGGAGGGGCCGGTGCCTTGGCTCACTTGGTTAATCCTCCGCCTGCAGCGCCGGCATCCCATATGGGCACCGGGTTCTAGTTCTGGCTGCTCCTCTTCCAATCCAGCTCTCCACTGTGGCCCGGGGAGGGCAGTGGAGGATGGCCCAAGTGCTTGGGCCCCTGCACCCGCATGGGAGACCAGGAGAAGCACCTGGCTCCTGGCTTTGGATTGGCGCAGCACCGGCCGTAGCTGCCATTTGGGGAGTGAACCAACTGACGAAAGTCCTTTCTCTCTCTCTCTCTCTCACTGTCTATAACTCTGCCTGTCAAATAAATAAATAAAAAAGGGGAGGAAGATTTAACTATTCAACTTTATCAGATATTAAAATTTATTATAGAACTAGATTAAAACAACTTGGTATTGGTCTAGACCTCAGTTTCAAGCAGGATAGTCTAAAATAGACATTAAGATAAAATAGAATAAATATTCAGTGAAAGTAGTTTTTTTAAGTAATTGGAGGAAATATGGGACACTCTGTCAATGGGAATGGGAAACTGAGTGACCATCTAGAAAAAGAAGGTGAATTTCCTCCTTACTCCTTGGATGAACTATGAAAAGTGCTATAATAAAGCTGTGAGCACTTTGATATTCTTGGAGTGAAAATATTTCATAAGCTTGATAAATGGTGGATACACTTACTTACATTTAATTTTGTTTTAATTAATTTATTTGAGAGGCAGCGATGACAGAGAGAAATGGACATCCAGAGAGCTCCTGTTCCATCCACTCTGCAAGTGTTCACAACATGCCCTGGCTGGGGCCAAAGCTGGGTGCTTGGAACTCAGTCAGGTCTCCCACGTAGGTGGCAGGAACCCAGTTACTTCACTATCACTCCTGCCTCTGAGGTATGCATTAACAAGAGCTGGAATCAGGAGTAGAACTGGGACTCGAAACCAGGCATTCTGATGTGGGATACAGGCATCTCATCTATTGGGCCAAATGTCTGTCCTCGTTGCTACCTTAGAGAGAGGTCTTCTATTCACTGGTTCACTCCCCAGGTGGCCGCAATGGCCAGAGCTATGCCAATCTGAAGGCAGGAGCCAGGAGTTTCTTCCAGGTCCCCCATGCAGGTGCCATCTTCCACTGCTTTCCTAGGCCACAGCAGAGAGCTGGATCAGAAGTGGAGAAGCGGGACTCGAACTGGTGCCCATATGGAATGCTGGCACTGCAGGCAGTGGGTTTACCTGCTATGCCACAGCGCCAGCCCCCTGTTACTTTTTGAAAATAATATTGGTACAAAAACCTCATCAGTTGTTGTTAACAAGGCTTATTTCTTACTGCAGATCCTTCTGTATTGTTTGTTCAGGTAATGGTTTTTATGTCATGTGTGCTCATTTTGTCTATTTAGCCAATTTTTTTTTAGTAAAAATCCCTGTTTAAATTCTTTTTGAGTATGACATTTTTGAATAAGGTTTATCATTCCTAAATAGAGATATTATGAAATTATTGTACTGTTGGGAAAGAAGTCTTTGCAATTCATTTTGTCATAGGCTTAGTTGTATGATCTCAGTAACTAAAGATGTAATTCTTTTTTAAAATGTTTGTTTATTTATCATCATCTACTTTAAAGAGGGACAGAAAGAGGGATCTTCCATCTGCTGGTTCACTCCCCAGATGCCTGCCACAGTCAGGGCTGAGCCACGCCAGAACTCCATCCACGTCTTCACATGGGTGGCAGGCACCCAAGCACATGACCCGTCTTTGGCTGCGTTCCAGGATGCATTTGCAGGAAGCTGGATTGGAATAGAGGAGCTGGGATTCAAATTGGCATTCTGATAAAGGACACAGGCAGCCTAAATGTTCCCCAACACCTGTCCCAACCATGTACTTCTATAACATTGATTTTTTTTTAAAGATATATTTATTTATTTGAAAGAGTTAGAGAGTGGGAGAAGCAGTGGGGGAGGGGGAGGGGTCGTTTGTCCACTGGTTCACTCCCCCAATGGCTGCAATGGCTGGAGCTGGGATTATTTGAAGCCAGAAGCCAGGAGCTTCTTCCAGGTCTCCCACGTGGGTGCAGGGGCCCAAGTACTTGGGCCATCTTCTGCTGCTTTTCCAGGCCATAACAGAGAGATGGATTGGAAAAGGAGCAGCCAGGACTAGAACCAGTGCCCATATGGGATACCAGCACCGCAGGCTGTGGCTTTAACCTGCTGTGCCAAAGGGCCAGACATTGATTTTTAAGAGCTTGTTTAGAAATACTTATTGCTTATCCATTGGTTTGCAAATTGATGTGATTGTAATTTATATGAACTTTTCTTCAGTTGTTTTGAATTGTGTTGGTAGTATCATTTTGAGAAAGCTTTGCAAAGGTTAATTTAGTTAAAAGAAAAAAAATTAATCAGGCTTAGAAAAACTAACAAATGTCTTTATTTTGATTTTGACAGATTTGGAGGCCAATCACTGCCACCTTTTATTTCCCTGTGGGTCCAGGAACTGGATTTCTTTATTTGGTCAATTTATATTTCTTGTATCAGTATTCTACTCGCCTGGAAACAGGTAAGTCATCTGTAGATGTAAATATTTTTTTCTTCTGATTTGCTAATTCATATGTTTCTTTTCTTGGAGGAATTTTGAGGGCAGGTAGCATTTGGTAAGAAATGGCGTAATGATTGTGTTTGCTCAGTGAATGCCAGGACTGTGCTAAGCACTGAAGTTGTTTGTCCTTTACTCTGTAAAATGTCAGGAAGTATAAGTAGCACTTTTTTTTTTTTAGCTGAAAAAAGAACATATTAGAGGTTTACGTTTCCTGCCTGTCTCTTAGTGGCTCAGCTGTGTGCTTCTCACTTGATTAGATGATCTCATTCATTTCTGTTGTAGAGCAGTCCTTGTCATTTAGTGCAAAATTGGGTTGGAGTGTATATGTTGTCTGGAGTGGGCTTGAGAAGTACTACTTTGTGCAATTAGAAGCCTAGAATTGCTCTCTCTAATTGAAACACTCAACTTTGAAATGTATAGCCAAGATTTAGTAATGTGGTAGCGTCCGATATGAATCCCTGTGTGATGCTTTGGGTACGCTGTAAGAATCCTTTCTTAAATTATCTTATAAAATTGTTGTATCTTGCAATATCTTATATAAATAAATAAAAATAAAAATAAAGTAATTAAAATGGATACTTTTATGTTATAAACTGATTGTGTCAAAATAAGATTATAATTTTGCTAAGCATAAATAATTTAGAAAAGGTTGACTAACTTCAGAGACTTGATGAATTTGCTGGCTGTTAAGAAAGACATCATTGTATTAACACAAGGGTAGATGACTGCTATTGGGAGGGACCTGACACATTCCTTGAGTTTCACAGAGAGGAAGAAGCGATTGAAAGAAGTGATTCGACTGAGGTAAAAATGGACAGACAGAAGGCCTCTCACTGTCATGTCAGGGATTTCATTCTTAAATATATCAAAATACGTGATTTTTCTTCTTCTTTGTTGCAGTTGGATCTGATTATGGTGCTGCCTTGTTGAGCATTCATTCTATCCCTCTGTCACAATTTGAGTACTAAGTTGTTGGAGTAATGTTGTTTTGTTGTGGTTTCTATTTTTTGTTAATATCAGCATTCAATTCTAGATTTAGGTGGATGATCTGTGACCAATAATTTAGAATTTTATTATGGTAAATTTCAGACATATACATACAAAAGTAGAAAGAAAGATCAGTGAACTCCTCTTCTTAAAAAATTGGGATAGGGGGCTGGCGCTGTGGCGTGGCGGGTAAAGCTACTGCCTGCAGTGCTGGTTTCCCAAATGGGCACTGGATTGAGTCCCGGCTGCTCCATTTCCGATCCAGCTCTCTGCTATGGCCTGGGAAAGCAGCAGAAGATGGCCCAAGTCCTTGTGCCCCTGTACCCGTGTGGGAGACTTGGAGGAAGCTCCTAGCTCCTGGCTTCAGATTGGCACAACTCTGGCCATTGTGGCCAATTGGGGAGTGAATCAGTAGATGAAAGACTTCTCTCTCTGCCTCTCCTTCTATTTCTGTGTATTTCTTTCAAATAAATAAATAAATCTTTTTTAAAAAATTGAGGTTGAATTCATGTAACATAAAAGTATCCATTTTACTTTATTCTTATTTTTATTTATTTATTTATTTATTTATTTTTGACAGAGTGGACAGTGAGAGAGAGAGACAGAGAGAAAGGTCTTCCTTTGCCGTTGGTTCACCCTCCAATGGCCGCCGCAGCCGGCTCACTGCACTGATCCGATGGCGGGAGCCAGGTGCTTCTCCTGGTCTCCCATGGGGTGCAGGGCCCAAGCACTTGGGCCATCCTCCACTGCACTCCCTGGCCATAGCAGAGAGCTGGCCTGGAAGAGGGGCAACCGGGACAGAATCTGGCGCCCCGACCAGGACTAGAACCTGGTGTGCCGGCGCCGCAAGGCAGAGGATTAGCTAGTGAGCCACTGCGCCGGCCCATTTTAATTCCTTTAAATATATATGATTCAGTGGCCTTTTGTGTATTTAGTCACCACAATCTAATTCCAGAACGTTTTCATCAGTCTCCCTAAATCCAAAGCACTCATTCTCCATCCCCCCATATCTCTTCCTTCTGTGGGTGGCCACTGATCTACTTTGTGTGTGGATTTGCCTCTTTGATATGTTGAGTGTACTCTGTTTGTGACTGGCTTTTTTCACTTAGGGTAACGATTTTCAAAGTCTCCCTGTGTTGTAGTGTATGTTGGCATTAACGCCTATTTAACCAGCATTCACCTCTCACAGTTACAGCTAGTTCTTTTAAAAAAAATGTGTATTTTTGTTTATTTGAAAGGCAGAGCAACAGAGAGAAAAGTGAGGGGAGAGAGAGAGGGAGGGAGGAAAGGACGGAGAGAGCTTTTACCTGCTTGTTCAGTTGGGTGTGCAAAGCTGGGGTTGGACAAGGCTATCGTCAGGACTCAGGAACTCCATCAAGGTCTTCATATGGGTGACAGGGACCCAAGCGCTTGGGCCATCATCCTCTACCTCCCAGGTACGTTAGCAGGGAGCTGAATTGGAAGTGGAATAGCTGAGACTTGAACCAGCGCTCTGATATGGGATGCTGGTATTCCAAGCAGCAACCTAATGCTAAGGCAACACCTGCCCCTCATAGCCAGTCTTGTTTTATCTATATTTATGACAGCCTGTCTCCCCCAATTATTTGAAGAAAAATGCCAGGCATCATATCATTTCATTCATAAATATTTTAGTATTTACCCTGAAAATATAAGGACTTAAAAATAAATCTGTTGCCATTATTAAACCTAAATGGGGGGTGGCACTGTGGCATAGTGGGTAAAGCTGCCACCTGCATTACCGGTATTGCATATGGGTGCCAGTTCAAGTCCCAGCTGCTCCACTTCCAATCCATCTCCCTGCTAGGGCTTGGGAAAGCAGTAGAAGATGGCCCAAGTCCTTGAGCCCTTGTACCCGCGTGGGAGACCGGGAGGAAGCTCCTGGCTTCAGATCAGCGAAGCTCCAGCTGTTGTGGCTAACTGGGGAGTGAACCAAAAGATGGAAGACCTCTCTCTCTCTCTCTTTCTCTGCCACTCCTTCTTTCTCTGTGTAACTCTGATTTTCAAAGAAATCTTAAAAAAAAAAAACCCTAAATTGTAATAATTCTGTGGTCACTTTTTATTTTTATTTTTTATTTTATTTTTTAAAAGATTTATTTATTTCTCTGAAAGAATTACACAGAGAGAGAAGGAGAGGCAGAGAGAAAAAGAAAGAGAGGTCTTCCATCCACTGATTCACTCCCTAATTGGCTGCAATGGCCGGAGCTATGCGGATCCAAAGCCAGGAGCCAGGAGCTTCCTCCAGGTCTCCCATGTGGGTGCAGGGGCACAAGGACTTGGGCCATCTTTTGCTGCTTTCTCAGGCCATAGCAGGGAGGTGGATCGGAAGTGGAGCAGCCGGCATTTGAACCAGTGCCTATATGGGATGCTAGCAATGCAGGCAGTGGCTTTACCCACTACGCCACGGTGTTGGCCCCTACTTCTTATTTTTAAAGATCCTTTTTTGCTTACTTAAGGTGCTTGAACTCATTTACCCATCCCTCTTACCTAGTCAGGCAATACAACTAATTTGTGATATTTTTCTCCCTGAATAATACTTAAGACTGATTTGTAGAGTTGAGGGACCACTGGTCTCTTGTTTTCTTTGATTCTTAGGAGTTGCCCCCTCATTTTCTACTCCCCAGTAACATTCTTTTGAAGTGCTCCAGCTGAGAAGTATTTCTTTTAGCAACTTCATGGAGACACAATCAGTCCTCCATAGGTGTGGATTCTGTAGCCACCCGCTGAAGGATAATATCAGGAAAAAGTGGTGTCTGTATTGAACATGTTCTGACTTCCTGTTGCTGTTATCCCTTAAGCAACAGAGTATAACAACTTTTTACGTAGCATTTCCGTGGTATTAGGTAGTGTAAGTAATCTGGAGAGGATTTTCAGTATCCTGGGAGATATGTGTGGGGTTATATGCCAGCACTGCATCATTTTATCTAAGTAACTCGAGCATATGCAGATTCTGGTGTCTAGGGATCCTGAAACCAGTCCCCTGTGGACACCTTGCGTGACTGTCCGTCTCATTCCATGCAGCTCACCCATTTGAAGTAGACACTTGAGTGAGTTCTTGGTATATTCAGAGTTGATCCATCATTATCACAATCAATTTAATAACATTCTGTTACCCCAGAAAGAAACCCTGTATCCATTAGCAGATGCCCCCATTTCCATTCGATCCCCTTCTCCTTCACAGTCTTTCCGAAACCACCGATCTGCTTTGTGTTTCTACATTTGCCTCTTCTGGACACATGGTATTTAAGGTTCTTCCTGTGCCGTGTTATCTTGGATAGCTTTGTGGCCTGTGGGCCATGTCACCAGTGACCACTGTTTTTTTCTGTGCAGTGAGAAGGTTAAGTGTGAAAGTGACAGTCATCCTCAGTATTCATGAGAGATTGCTTTCATGCTCCCCACAGATGCTGAAATCGGCGGATGCTCAGGTCCCTTACATAAAACTGTGTGGTACTTGCATATACCCTGTGCACATCCTCCAGAGACTTTGAGTCATCTCCAGGCCCATGAAAATGCTGTGTAAAGGGCTGGACTGTATTGCCACGTGTGATGTGTATTAGTATTTTATTCCTTTTTATTGTCATTATATCAGTGAAAACACATTGTGTTTATCCATTCATCAGCTGGGGAACATCTGACTTGTTTTCGCTTTTTGACTGTTATCATAACAGTCTGAACATTAGTGTAGAGAGGAACTTTCAAGATCATTCTACAAGACAGTTCTCATATTTAACCTTCTTATATCACAGACAGGAAAACAGTGTGGAGTGTGGTGACATGTCCCAAAGGTCACAAAGCTGTTTGATTCCCTGTTTCTTTCCACAGTACAGCTTCAAGTTAATATTTTGACAAAATGTTTGCATCTGCATGTTCTCCTGCCTGGCTAAAATTTTTTTAATTAATTAATTAATTAATTTGAAAGGCAGAGTTACAGACAGAGGTCTTTCATCTTCTGGTTCACACCCCAAATGGCCACAGTGGCTGGAGCTTGGCTGATCTGAAGCCAGTAGCTTCTTCTGGGTCTCCCATGCGGATACAAGAGCCCAAGCACTTTGGCCATCTTCTACTTTTTTCCCTGGCCATGGGCAGAGAGCTGGATTGGAAGAGGAGTGGCCGAAACACAAACTGGCACCCATATGGGATGCTGGCACCGCAGGCGGAGGCTTAACTTACTGTGCCACAGTGCTGGCTCCTAAGTTGTTAAGTGTATAGCTGTACTGGCTTATTTCTGAAGTTTCTGATTTGAACTGGAAGACTGAAATTTGAGGCAGTTAATTTGTAAGTTCTTAGTTGCAAGCATGCCAAATATTATAGTGCTGTAGTTTATGTGATTACAATATTTTAAGTACTTCATCCAAGGAATCCTTGGAAATCACAAGGACAAACCCACATCAAAAGCACAACTATTATTAAAACTCAGAAGTTTTGCTAGCTTTTTAGCTGTAATTCATCATAGTGATCCTCTGGCATCAAGCATCCTTAACGCTGGCTGAAATGTGCCTTTGAGGTAATGAGAGAATAAAGGAGAGCAGGAGAGATTTTTCTGGAAACCTGTTTTTGTTTACATGCATGTATATCTTTCTGCCTTTCTGACAGATGGTAGGATTAAAAATATTTTTTGAATTTTCATTGTATTTAAGATTTTATATATATGTATATACTTGTGTGTGTGTGTGTGTGTGTGTGAGAGAGAGAGAGAGAGAGATGTTTTCCATCTGCTGATTCACTGTAAGTGTTTGCTGGGGCTAGGCCAGAGCCAAACCAGGAGCCCAGAACTCGTTTCAGATCTCTCACATGGCTGACAGGGACCCAACTACTTAAGCCTTCACTTGTTGCTTCCCAGGGTACACATTAGCAGGAAACTAGAGTCAGAAGTGGAGCTGGGACTGGAGCTCAGGTACTCCAATATGGCATTCAGGTGTCTCAAACAGTGTCTTTATTTATTTATTTATTTGACAGACAGAGTTAGAGAGAGAGAGAGAGAGAGAGAAAATGAAAGGTCTTCTCTCCGTTGGTTCACCCCCCCAAATCACCGCTATGGCCGGAGCTACACCGATCCGAAACCAGGAGCCAGGTGCTTCCTCCTGCTCTCCCATGTGGATGCAGGGGCCCTCCTGGGCCACAGCAGAGAGCTGGAAAGGAAGAGGAGCAACCGGGACTAGAACCTGGCGCCCACATGGGATGCTGGTGCCGTAGCAGAGGATTAACCAAGTGAGCCACGGTGCCGGCCCCTCGAGCAGTGTCTTAACCATTGGGCCAAATGCCCACCCCAAAGATTTTTGTTAACTGACTCTATCATGTAACTGATGAGGTGAGGAGTAGAGGGAAGGTAACTTTTTAAAAATTTTTTGGTATAAAATAACTTATTTACATAATTTATAGAAACATAACTGCTTTCTTGAAACAGAAAATTTACAAGTGCTTTTTGTCAAAGGATTCTTCAAGCCAGATAGTATAGATGATTACTTCTATTTCAAATAACCTGGTAGTAAACAGTGCATATTGACATTGTTACCTGTGCCTTAATCATTTACCAACAATTAGGCCCTGAAACCATCCTGTTGATCCCTTGCTGAGACATAAGTGTTCAGGAGGAAAGGTTAAGGTAAATACCTTTAATTGCATTTCCTTTAAGATTTATAAAGTAAGTTCTTTGCAACATCCTCTTTACATGAATCAGACGGATAATAGGTCTTTCCTTCTTAAAAGGTAAATACATGGTTAAGTTTCTCTTTTTCTCTGATTTAAAAAAATTTTTTTTTAAATATTTATTTGAAAGTCAGAGTTAGAGAGAGAGAAGGTTTTCCTCTACTGGTTCACTCCCCAGATGACTGCAGTGGCCCTAGCTGGGCTAATCTGATGCCAGGAGCCAGGAGCTTTTTCGGGATCTCCCACATGGATACAGGGACACAAAGAGCTTTCCCAGATGCATTAGCAGGGAGTTGGATCAGAAGTGTAACAACTGGGACACAAACTGGCACCCAAATGGGGTGCTGGCACCATAAGCAGTGGCTGTACTGGCAACATCACAGGGCTGGCCCCCCAAGATTTGTTTTAAAGATAACTGGGATAATTTAGTTGGCCAACTTGATAATCTAATAGAAGGAATGCCCTGTGTATTCTTTATACAGTAAGAAATTCTGTGTCCCATCAAATTAGTTTACTATAGGTGAACAAGAGATTGATGTAACAATGTTTAAAGATGAATATTTCACAGAGATAATAGTCATGGCAATCTGACACCCAGCTTCACACTAAGAGAAGAAAACCTCTTCAGAATGTGAGATTTTTTAGGAATTACAAAAAAAGTTATAAAACAGCAATGTGGTTTACTCTATAATTTTTGTGACATATTAATCACACGTATCTATAGAGAATTTCCATGCAGATTTATACATCCTCCTTTGTGACAAGGAAAGTGAATTTTTGAGCTAGAGTGGCCTTCCAGTTTTTTGGTTTCTTTATCTCTGCATCTTTCAGCCTCTCCCAGCTGAAGGCATTGGGAGTCATCTTTGGAGAGCTGGGCTGCTGTTTTTTTTTTTTTTTTTTTTAACTTTTATTTAGCAAATACAAATTTCCAAAGTACAGCTTATGATTACAATGGCTCCCCCACCCCCATAACTTCCCTCCCGCCCGCAGCCTTCCTCTCTCTCGCTCTCTCTCCCATTCCATTCACATCAAGATTCATTTTCAATTATCTTTATATACAGAAGATCAATCTAGTATATATTAAGTAAAGATTTCAACAGTTTACACCCACACAGAAACACAAAGTGAAAAATACTATTTCAGTACTAGTTATAGAATTAATTCACATTGAACAACACATTAAGGACAGAGATCCTACATGAGGAGTAAGTGCACAGTGACTCCTGTTGTTGACTTAATTAACAAATTGACACTCTTGTTTATGGTGTCAGTAATCTCCCTAGGCTCTTGTCATGAGCTGCCAAGGCTATGGAAGCCTTTTGAGTTCACCGACTTCGATCTTATTTAGACAAGGTCATAGTCAAAGTGGAAGTTCACTCCTCCCTTCAGAGAAAGGTACCTCCTTCTTTGATGGCTTGTTCTTTCTACGGGGATCTCACTCGCAGAGATCTTTCATTTAGGTCCTCTTTTTTTTTTTTTTTTCCCAAGCTGAGCTGCTGTTGATTGTTCTGCCCGGAAGTGAGACTGTAGCCTGGTATTGGCTACAGTGGCAAGAGCACTCAAGTGGCAGTTAGACTTTACTCTGCTTCTAGCAGGACGTGTGACTTGCTCATGTAACTTCACTTCCTCATCTGTGAGGAGGGACATAGGTCTTTGCATTCCCCTCACAGAAGCTTTGTGAGGAGTAAGGGTCAGAGGCCGGGGCCTTCTCTCCCACGTCCTTTACCTCTTACTAGAGGGCCAGCTGCTGCAGACAGGGAGTGAGTCAGCTCAGAGTAAGAGTCTGAGCCCGTGTGTGTGTTTGTGTGTGTGTGTGTGTGTGAAGACCTTCCAGCAGGGGTGTGTGTGTGTGTGTGTGTGTGTGTGTGAAGACCTTCCAGTGTGTGTGTGTGTGTGTGTGTGTGAACCCAGAGATGGGCAGGGGTGTGTGTGTATGTGTGTGTGCACACCTTGCAGCAGAGCCATGCTGGAGGAGGCACAGTGGCAGGCAGAGTGGATGCTCTAGTGGGTGGGGGAACTTAACCAGGTACTCACGGATGTGTCCGTCAGGCCACATAAAACCTTTAAAGGAAACTGGGGGCCGGGGAGTCACGGGTGTTTGGAGTGGAAGACTTGAGTGGGTGTGGATTTGACTGCCTTCCCTGTGGGTCTGCTGCAGTCCGGGGCTGTCAGAACTTGTCACTCACTGGGGTTAGCCACACTCAGGTGACTTTGATTCAGGGCTTTTGTTAAGGACATGCTTTAGATATTTTAAAAAACAAATCTTTTGTTTTTTGAGAGGAGTGATACATTCTCCTTTTGGTTCTCTAATTTTCGAAGTGTTTCTCTACATAGATCTACTTTGTTCGGACATTCTGAAGCATGACATTTGGCTTATTTTCGTTTGCAGCAGCGTTTGATGGAAGGCCAGCAGACTATTTGTTCATGCTCCTCTTTAACTGGATTTGCATCGTGGTATCCTTCAGACTGTTATTTTGGGCCAGAAAGAAGCCAGTCCCCCCAACCCCCAGGCTTGGGGAAATGGACAGTATTCTATAAAAATTTTAAATTACAGTATTTGCATCTTTATTTACTGCACTTGAGAATAATTAAAGTTCCATTTTAAAGCTGTAGTAAATCATACAGCCCTTGAGTGATAACATTTTCTCACATGGCCTTTGTGGGGTTTTTCCACATTTGGGTGAATTTTATTACCATTCCCTGTTCCTGTTCCCAGTTCTCTGTGTTCTCATGTGTGGCAGCTGTTGACTAAAGCACAAAGCAATTCTATGCCATGAGATGGGTTTTGAAATCTGTGGTCCTTATCAGAAAATTAATTTATAACCAGCATCCTTTTCTGGCTTCATTGCTGTCCTTTTGGGATCCTAAATAGCAATTCAGTTTCTCTCTGAAGTGCCCAGCTGTGGAAAAGGACACAGCGTGTCTCTGCTTTGTGTACGCCACAGTTGTCAGCAGCCTCCAGCTGCCAGCTCTTGCAGATGCTGGGAGCAGCACAGGGGACTGGGTGGCCTAAGTCTTGGGCAGAGTTGGTAAGCTCACAATTGCCTTTGGGCCTGGCTGCCACTTAAAGTTGGCCAAGAGCCAGAGAATGTGGCACTTTGGATACCCTTTCCTTTCCTTTAAGGGCAGAAAGCAATTATTTTGGACCTCAGCCATGTGTAGATCCCTGCATGGGAATAGAATCGTTATTGGTTGCAGAGGGTACAGGCATCCCTGTCCTCTGTTTGAAGCAGATGCTAACGCATACAAATGGGCATGAACAGGAGAAGTGGGCGCCAGGTGACCCAGCTGAGTCACGTGCCAAAGCTGCTGAGTTCTGCCATCCCGTGTCATCAAGAGCCCAGTGGCCTGTTCATAGCGAAGATGCTGAAGTGCCTTTGCGTTCTGGGCTGTTTTAGGTAATCTGAGCTAGAGAAGAGTGGGTGGGGGGTGTGAGGGGAAGGGTACAGGATGCTTCATGTCTGATCTTTAACTTTACAAACCAAGATCACTGGCTTAGCAATGGATATGCAGGTAAGTGTCCTTTTATCTGCTTGCCTTTTTATAGGTTCCAAGTTTACTATTAATGGCTTTTAACAGAAGTTGAAAGTGCATCAGTTATGTGGCATTTTGAAATTATAGACTTATAGCTGTTTTTATTTAGTATAAAATATATAAAATTTTATTTATACATTTCATTTATTTATATTTATATAATGTTATTTATTTGAAAGTCAGAATTAGAGAGAGAGAGAGCATGAGAGAGAGATATCTTCCTCCACTGGTTCACTCCCCAAATGGCTGCAATAGCTAGGGCTGGGCCAGGCCGCAGCTAGGAGCCAGGAGTTTCATCCAGGTCTCTCACATAGGAGCAGGGGCTGCCCACTGCTTTCCAGGCACATTAGCAGGGAGCTGGATCAGAACAGAAGCAGCTGGAACTCAAACCAGCACCTATATGGGGTGCCTGCGCAGCAGATGGCAGCTTAATGCACTGTGCCACAGTGCTGGCTGGTCCCTTATAGCTGTTTTCATTTAAAGATCTTAAAGTCAGCTAAGGCTTTGAAGATTTTACATGAGTTACCTAAGCCATTGCTTTTCTTGCTCTTTTCTGGCATTTTTAATATGTTTAATGTGAAAATAATGTTATCCAGTATTTCCTATGATTATAGGTTTATATTTTTCAAAAATCAAGATTATGTGATAAGATTTGTGGCCTACTTTTTCAAGGTGTTTCTGAATCTGTCTAAAATAATGGAATTGTGTTCTATTTTATGATAGGATTTTGTAGTATTCATTGTATGATAAATAATAGAATCAACTTATAATTCTGTTTAAAAACTTTTATTTATTTGAGAGGCAGAGAGAGAGAGACAGGAGAGAGAGAGTTCTTATTTGCTGGTTTATTCCCCAAATGCCTACAGTGGCTGGAGCTGGGCGGGGCTAGTCCAGGCTAAAGCTAAGAGGAGGTCGGCACCCAGCATGCATTCCAGTTCCTCCATGTGGCGGCAGGAACCGCAATTACTTGAGGTGTGATCTGCCTCCCTGGGTCTGCGCTGGTGGGAGCTGGCGCCAGGAATCAAACCAAGGCTGTGCGATGCAAGCGTCTTAACTGCTCCCCAGTTTGTGATTCTGATCAACTGAATTTCCCTTTGCTTTTGGGTACCTATGAGGATATTTAGGAAGGGAGGGGTAAAACGCGTGGGAGATTTGTGCCAAAACGTCTTTTCCAGTGCATTTGGGGCCTAATTTTCCGTGTTGATTTCTTTTGCAGTTGCTGATGATTCCTCTGATCATGTCAGTACTGTATGTTTGGGCCCAGCTGAATAGAGACATGATTGTATCATTTTGGTTTGGAACACGATTTAAGGTACTTCACCCGAGTTGGAAAGACGTCCTTTTCGTTTGTCATTGCAGAGATCCCTCTCTTCAGCCCAGAGATGTACTTTCTGACTCGTCCAGAAGAGGTCACTGCAGAGCAGTATACCATAGGCAAGCCCTTCTCTCCCCTCAGTCCCAGCTGTTTTCTTTAGCCGACCCAGAGACCCTTGCTAACTGTTAGGACTTCCACACCCCTGTCCTTCAGGGCCCACAGACATGTGTCCTGTGTGATCTTGTGTGTGTGTGTGGGGGGGGGGGAGAAATACTCATGTTGAAATTTGTCTTTGAAAATCTGTTTTTAATACTCTCACTATTTGTTATTTTAGCTAAAAAAGATTTTTATTGGCCTCTTCCACTTGTACCTTCTCTCATGATTTTCCACCTGTACCATGTTTTTGATTGTTTCCTTCATGTGATGCCTACCTGTTCTTAAATTTGAGTTGATACTGAATGTATTTTGTGAGTCTCCTGCTTGGAATTAGTCTTGACTTTGTGCTTTTTTGTGTGATATGTACCATACTTAGCCTTATGTATGTGTACTGTTTTCTTCACTTGTTCATGCGGTACCTCACAACTCCCTTAGTTCTTAGTGTGATGTGTTGAATTTGGTAAGGGGCACAAATGTTGAATTTTCTTGGGAAGCTTATTTGGAAGAGTATTAGTTCAAGATGTCAATATGTAATGAAATAAAAATTCTAGATAATTTTTCAAGATACGTGAAAGAAGAACCTAAAAAGCTGGGCTGTTTGTAGTTTATAAGTTTGCTGACTGGAGTCGTCTTTAGTGTGGTTTGGCCATAGGCCTTTTTCTTTCTTTTTTTTTTTTTTAAAGATTTATTTATTTATTTGAAAGGCAGAATTACAGAGAGGCAGAGAGAGAGAGTTTCCATCTGCTGATTCCCTCCCAAATGGCTGCAGTGGCTGGAGCTGGCTGATTTGAAGCCAGGAGCCAGGAGCTTCTTCCAGGTCTCCCACATGGATGCAGGGGCCCAAGTACTTGGATCATCTCAACTGCTTTCCCAGGCCATCACAGAGAGCTGGATATGAACTGGAGCAGCCAGGTCTCGAATCTGCGCCTATATGGGATGCTGGCACTGTGGGCGGCGGCGTTGCCCGCTACGCCACAGCACTGTGGGCCATGTTTTAATACATCATAGATACTTGTTACTGTTAGTTCAGCAGGGCATGTACTGTGTCTGAACTCTGGGCAGAGGATCCTGTCCCTGAAGTTACAAATGCAGAAATAAGTGTAATTTTAAGAAAGAAATTTTAGGTACAGTGAGAGTGATGCTAGATTGACCTGAGAAATTTTGCAGTTCTTCCTAGAGGATTCTGGGAAAGCCCTTGTCAGCATAGCCTTTCCTCATTTCAGCCCCCGTCGCGTCTGTGCCTTCTTTAGGTGTGGCTATTCTCATTTGTGTATGTTCTTTTGTAGGCCTGTTACTTGCCCTGGGTTATCCTTGGATTCAACTATATCATCGGAGGCTCGTAAGTGATAGTAGATTTGTTTAATTGGAAACTAATCCTTGGAAAAAATATGCTAATCTTTCCTTAATTTTATAAAACTTTAAAGGATCTCAGTATTGATATGTTAGAGCATTGTATGTGTGGAATAATGTCATTTTGATGTAATTGATTAAATTTCAGGTCTCTAAGCATATTTAGCATTGAATGGTTGCAATTTTATTAGCTCGTTGTTCAATATGGTATGCTTTTATATATGGTCATTTGAAGAAATGTTTCTGGATTCACTGTCCAGATCAAGCAAGCATAGACCTACTTTGTGTCTGAGTTGACTCTTGTAAGAACTATGCATAAAATTACTACCTCCTACCTCCTTTATAGCTCAGACATTTCCAGTCATAAAAAGGCAGGCTCTCTGATGGGGAGTAGTTTTGTAACCGATTTGCTAATACAAAAGTTTTGGCCAAGCAGGGTCCAATTTTTAGTCTGTTGGTCTGGAATTAGAACTGTGAATTAGGGAAACCTTTAATGTATGCAGACAGAATTTTGAAGAGAGAATATCGAGATGCAACTATTCTAAGAACTCACATTTCTTACACTACCGAATCTTGTCAGCATTTTAATAGTACTAGTTGTTCATATGTCTGACACATTTGCTCTGTGTGATCCTAACGTCTTCTGCATATTGATAGGGAGACGTGAATGAATCAGGCAGACTGTGTAGAGAGCAGAGCATGTTCGGAGCAAGGGCAGAGTCAGGAACTCTGTAGATGTTGATTTGCTGCGATGGGAATCATGTTGCAGGTAGAGACAAAGAAGGCTATGTCGCAGTAACAGTGGGTCTGTAAAATATTAAGGCAACCTCGTCAGCCGTGGGAAAACCAAAGAAAAGAAAGTCAGTGTTTATTTTGGGGTTGGAGGGTGAAGGTCAGCCCTCCTTCATGATCTCTCTAGCTTCCTACCCTCAGAGTTAACACGAGGCGAGAGAGACGTATCTAATGGCTCTAGGAATAGAAGAGCAGGCGTTTATTGTCTGTCTTCTTACTCGCCTGCGTCTGTCCTGGTAACCTTTGTGTTTGCTCACATGTAACAAACCCAGCATTCATGACTGAAAGCATTCAGAACTGTGCTTTGCGTCTTCCCCAACCCTTGAAGCAGGAAGCAGCAGTAGCAGAGCGATATGCTGAGGAGGGACTGGACCTTGGAAGAGATGTCAGGGGTCTGCTGGCCTTGAGGAGCAGCAGCCTCGTTGGTTCAGCACAACTGTTTTCCCTTCTGCTGCAGAATGCCTGTGCCATTCCGATGACAAAAGGTTGATTGTTGAGCTGTCGCCTGCTCCCAGGGACTGGAAATGGGCCGCTTTGGGGGCCTCTCGCTCGTGCTGTTAGATATACCTTAGTGCGTCTCACTTCATTGCTGGACGATTTGTAACCTAATCCCACTCTGTTTACAGGGTAATCAATGAGCTAATTGGAAATCTTGTTGGACATCTTTATTTCTTCCTGATGTTCAGATACCCAATGGACTTGGGAGGAAGAAATTTTCTATCCACACCTCAGTTTTTGTAAGTGTTCTTTTCTCTCTTTTAATAGTCATTTTACTGCCTGTGTTCTGTATTGTGCTAGGAGCTCCCTGAGGAGTAGGATTTACTTCCTTTCTTCCAGAGAAATGTGAGCCGACAAGTGCTGTCCCCTAGTCACACAGTCGCAGGGAACCAGAAATTGAAGCTGTGACTCAGGCTCCTTCAGGGTACTCTCGTAGCCGGGAGCCACCCCCAGATCTGGGTGTCGCAGGAAGCGTATCAGCCCTGCTGGGCAGGGTTGGGTACCTGAGCCCCGTGTTGGGATGGGCTGGGGAAGGGCAGGCTCTCAGGGTGTCTTTTCTGGGGGCATCAGTTCTCCCTATGGTTTTGGCTGAGGAAGGAGGAAGTTAGCTTGTCGGTGGCAGTTTCAGACATTTTTATGTTAAGTATCACAGAGTGGAACTCTGGTAGGGCTGTTCAGAGTTAGGAATGAGGGCCTGAGGTTTGTGGAGGCTCGATCCTCTGGATGTGCTCAGTGGTTTCGGGGTTCACTGAGGGGAGGAGACCGGGGCCACTCCCTTCATGTAGCAGTTGGGTGTTGGGGAAGTTACTCACTAAAACCTCCAAGCTGCAGCCTGCAGGTTCTAAGTTGCAGGGGCAGCCCCTGTCTCTCGGGACGCGGAGGTGGGATGTGCTGTGGGGAGCAGAGCAGTGGGCACTCAGTAAGGAAAGCTGTGGGGCGGGATCTTGACGGGCTGAGAAGTCGCTCACACACCGAGGCGTGTAAGTGGCATGCCTGTTCTGTCAGTGCAGCAAAGGCTGTTGAAGAAGGGCCCAGCGAATCGCCATCTGGGTGTCACAGCCTGCCTGACAGTCACGCCTAATCTTGTCCCAGGAATATGCAGTAATAGCTTGCATTTAAAAGCTTAAAAAAAATAAAACCCTTTCACATCGTGCTCATTTTAATGTTTGCAGTGCTGTCCTTGTTCCAGGGGGTCAGTGAGGGCAAGAGGGCTTGAGTAGCCCCAATGCTCACCCCTCTGTCCTTTTCTTCATCAGTTGTATATTTTTGAAAGACATTTTTATTGTGAACTATACAGAAAAATACAATGTTGTCATATATGTGTTACTTTTTTTCCTCTTTCTTCAAGAGAAGAAAAGAAACTTCTCTTCTGAGCCTTGAGTTGCCTTTAGGCTAAAGAAACAAATGACCAATCTGCTTTCTCATTATCAAAGGGCATAGTGACAGCAGATTTGGATTTCTGATGTAGGTTTATCAAGTAGGGTGGCAGATGCTTCAATTAAAGAAAGCATGGTGCTTTGGGGGCCAGCCAGCAGCTACTTCCTTTCAGTGGCCATATTCTGACTTAACTGCAGGCGGATATCTCTCAGTTGTGGGCAACAAAGTAAGCGAGGTTCCAGTGGTGACATCAGCAGCACAGTGGAGCCTGTCTTCCGCGTGAGCTTTCTCGCACTGGAAGCCCTTCTGTCAGATTTTACATAGAGATCAGATGACACCATGGAGCTCCTTGCAAAAGCAATAACTGCCTTGAATTTACCATACATTTTTGTTGATTATGTATAATTGGGCATCTTTTTATACTAATTACTTGCATTTAATTTCACTATCTGCTTAAGCAGAGAAGACAGCTTCCATATTGTCTTAGAGTAAGTAGCAAAGCAAGTCTTCTGACGTGCTTTGGAGGACTCTTACTGTACCAGGTGTCATGGATGCAGAGAAGCCAGTGCTGGAAATACTTTTATTTAGTGATAAAGCTCTGTCTGTTTACAAGGGAAGAGCTGAGTTGTAGAATTCTAAGGTAAAGGAAAGCCGTTATATCCTTTTCTGTGCACGGTTAGCTTTCTAGTTTAGAAGGGTCCCCATCAGAAGGCGCCTAGTGTGGTCGGTAGCACAGGGTGCAGGCTCCTGAGCCAGGCTGCCTGAGTTTGAATCCTGTCGCTTGTAAAGATCCTCGCCCGATCTGGCCTCAGCTTTCTTGTAGCAGTAGTGCCTGCCTCATCGGGTTCTGAAGATCTGATGAATTTGTCAGTGTGCTGTGCCTGGTGTAAGGTAAATTCTCACTGAATGACAGGTTCCCATAGGAGCTGCTTTGATACAAGGTGATGCTCCTCAGGCTCTGTGCTGTGGGCAGTTCTCTGTCATGGCTCCTCTAGCTGCAGAGAGAAGTTTATAAGGTCCCAGATCGTGCTCTCTGTCTTCTAGAAAAAACTGAAACACCAGGATCTGATAAGAGGAATAGGGATGAGCCGGCGCCGTGGCTCAATAGGCTAATCCTCCACCTTGCGGCGCCGGCACACCGGGTTCTAGTCCCGGTTGGGGCGCCGGATTCTGTCCCGGTTGCCCCTCTTCCAGGCCAGCTCTCTGCTATGGCCAGGGAGTGCAGTGGAGGATGGCCCAGGTGCTTGGGCCCTGCACCCCATGGGAGACCAGGAAAAGCACCTGGCTCCTGGCTCCTGCCAGGATCAGCGCGGTGCGCCGGCTGCAGCGGCAGCCATTGGAGGGTGAACCAGCGGCAAAGGAAGACCTTTCTCTCTCTGTCTCTCTCTCACTGTCCACTCTGCCTGTCAAAAAAAAAAAAAAAAAAAAAAAAAAGAGGAATAGGGTTAAGCACATTTTCAGTTTTTATAAAAATCTTATTTTTCAACTGAGAGAGCACACATGTGCCTGTGAACTCCTATCCGCTGGTTCATTTCTCCAAATGCCCACAGCAGCCAGGGCTGGGCCGTACTGAACCTGGGAGCCAGAGCTCGATCCAGGTCTTTCACATGGGTGGCAGAGACCCAAGTTCTTGAACTATAACCTGCTGCCTTCCAGAGTGTGCATTAGCGGGAGGTTAGAATCTGGAGTAGAACTGGGATCCAGCCTCCGAGAGTCTCCAGTATATGATGTGGGTGTTTCACGTGGTATCTTAACTACTAGGTCTGCCTCTGCCAGTTTTTTTTTTTTTTTTTTTTTTTTGACAGGCTGAGTGGACAGTGAGAGAGAGAGACAGAGAGAAAGCTCTTCCTTTTGCCGTTGGTTCACCCTCCAATGGCCGCCGCAGCCAGCACACTGCGGCCGGCGCACCGCGCTGATCCGAAGGCAGGAGCCAGGTGCTTCTCCTGGTCTCCCATGGGGTGCAGGGCCCAAGCACTTGGGCCATCCTCCACTGCACTCCCTGACCACAGCAGAGAGCTGGCCTGGAAGAGGGGCAACTGGGACAGAATCCGGCGCCCCGACCGGGACTAGAACCCGGTGTGCTGGCGCCGCAGGCGGAGGATTAGCCTAGTGAGCCATGGCGCCAGCCTTCTGCCAGTTTTATGACATAGTTGGTCAAGAATGGATGATAGTTGGGAAATACTATTGAGAGCACCAGCTTTGTTTAAGTTTTCTTAGCTGTTCTGTGACTCTTGTCACTTTGTAAGGTGGGAAATCATGTGACCCATTCGGGGAAGAATACAGTTGGAGGGCAGATTATGAGTTAACTTGAAGACCTGTCCAATCCTCCAAGCCATAAAGCTTTCTCCCCCAGTCCTACCTGGTGGGCTCAGCTGAGAGCATTGTGGCAGTGCTGTGACACACAGCCAGCCTGGGGACCTGCCCTTGGAAAGCGAATTTATTTTACATGCTCTGATCCATATTTAGATACACGAAGATGCTATCAGTCGTTCTTTCTGGTTGTTGAGCTTGTGGGTGTAATATTTTTGTTCTGCATGAATTACTTTTATAATCAGAAAAGAAAATGTTGGAGTGTGAATTTAACTGAAAGCTTGATAAATTTAAGAAATATGAAAAGCAAGTGCCATCTGTGGTCAGGCATTGAGCTGGGTGCTGAAAAGACCAAGTTAAATAGGACATCGTCCCTGGCCTTCGTCAGCGTGATGGGCGCCCCGGGAGAGGGAGGTGTGCTCGGTGGTTACCTAACTGTGGAAGTGACTCTGTTCTCTTCTCGGTCCTTGTTTTTCCCTCTCTGCTGCAGGTACCGCTGGCTGCCCAGCAGGAGAGGAGGGGTGTCAGGATTTGGTGTGCCCCCTGCTAGCATGAGGCGAGCCGCTGACCAGAATGGTGGAGGTGGGAGACACAACTGGGGCCAGGGTTTTCGACTCGGAGACCAGTGAAGGAGTGACCCTCGGCCTGCCTGCCGGCTGCTCCGTCAGATGACGTTCCTCCCGGTGTGGGGTGTACTTAACAACTGAATTCTAGCTAATGCTGTTGGACCTGACCCACACTGAATGTAGTCTTTCAGTATGAGACAAGATTTTTTAAATCCTGGAGAAAAATACAAGTGTTCCTCAAGTTTCATGATTCTCATTCAAGTCTTTAATGCTATGAAGAGCAAATGTCAACTGTGCAAATTTCAAAACTGATTTTTTTTTCTTTTTGGTGTCTTTTTCTTCCCTTTTCGTCTGAATAATGGGTTTTTAGCGTTGAGCTGGGTGTGTGGGGTTGGGTAACCAGACCCTTGTCAGAAGGATGTTCATCTCCTTGCACACTTGCTTCCCTCCTGCTTTTTCCAACCCCCCAACTTTGCAGCTAGAGAAGGTTGCCCATAGAATGGTTCTGCCTTTGACAAACTTATTTATTGACTTTGGCCAAGGCTTGATCACAAAGCCGTTCACGCGTTTCTTCTCCTGCTTGGGCGGCAGAGCTGTAACAATAGAGAAGACTGAAACAGTGGCTGAAGAGCTTCCTCGGCTTTTGCGACCGTTTCTCCACCTCTTCAGGTGTTTGACTGAAACACCTCTGAGTCAGTGAGGGCCACAGATTCCTATTAAGGAGGTATAAGGGTTGTCGGCAAGGCATTGCCGCAGGTGAAGTGTTCAGAACTGTAGTGGATTTGTATCTAACACAGGGGCTGGATTAAGCCGTGGTGGATGGTGATCCTGGCTTTGGGTACCCAGGGTAGTTGGGTTGTGTTAGGAGGCTCCCAGTCACGTTGGCTACAGGGAGTGCTCCCTTGGAGGGACTCCTGGACGTTGATTCCATTTCATTCTTCTGGGTACATGTTCACTGAGAAGCTGGAAGAGAGAGCCTCAGACCCTATTTAAATAAATAGTCTTTTTTTTTTTTTTAAGCCTCCCTTACCCCTTTTTAGTCAAGTGTTGCAATTTATTGTGAGGAAGGTGTGGCTCTTTGTGTATGTGAATAGTTTTTTAAAGCTAATGTAAGCACATTTAAATGAATCATTGCATAATTTGGGGTTGCGATGGCTTTAGAAGAATGATTTGTATTTGAGGGTCTTTATTGTTTGAGTCTTGAATGTACAAGCTCTGTGAGCCAGACCAGCTTCAGTACCCACAACTCCTTTTCATAGGTGGGCTGTTTCCATCAGAGCTTGGCTCCTCACCAAATAAAGTTTTTTTTGAAGGCTACAGTGTTTCACAGTTATTTGATTTTGAGTTTTTACTCTGCAAGCAGACTGCTGGGAGCGGTGCTGAGCGGCTGCCATGCTTTGAGTCAACAAAAGGCTTTGAACATTTGGACCGGCTTCTTTCGGGAAACACCCACTCTGTGGGACTATTCCTCTCCCCACCGAAGCGGTGATGGCTGTCACACCAGGAACTGGGAGCTGGAAGAGAGCTTCGCATTTTTAGTGAAGTTTGTGCGTACCTCTCCAGATTTAATTTCCGTGATAAAATAGTGGGGGAGGGTGGCATCTCGGCCTTCGTTGTCATATGTTCTGCTGTTGACCTGTGGCCACAATAAAATTTCCTTGTAAAATTTCTTTCAGAAGCCGTTGTTGCTCTTAGGTTGCATGTGTCCTCACTGTTCAGCAGTGGATACTGTGTGTGTGAGTGTGAAGATCTTAGCAGTGAGCTGGAGTCTCTTGTCTGCGCTCTGAGGAAGGCACCTGCCCTCGAGCAGTCATGTTTCTAAAGGTTTACAAGTGTTCAGAACTCTTCAGTTCAAGGCCAGAATGTTCACTGAATTCTGCCTCTTACACATGCTTAGGAAGGGATATTTTTATGCTCTTGTCTGGATTACCTGTCTCTCTGGTGTAATTGTACCCAAACGAGCTATTTTTTGAGTTGGCAAGCACAACAAGATGTGGCAGCGGATTCTCCTTATGAACTGAAAAAAGAAAATCCTTACTTTGTGTAGAGGACTTCCCTATTGTGAGTAATCCTTTTGTTAGTAAAAAGTTGAAATTAAAATGTACAGCTTAAAACTGTTTCCACATCCTGTTCTCTTGTCTTTTAGACAGGACGTAACCTACGCAGCTAACTCTCTCTTGCTGAGCATTTGGGAGGTACCCAGTATTGCTTTATCTCTTGGAGCGACACTGTCCAACTCTGAGTATGTGGCTTTGTTTACATCTTGGAGAAAATCTGGATTAATTCCTGCAGCAGAAGTCCTGGATTTTCTTTTTCTTTTTTTTAACAGATTGATTTATTTATTTGAAAGGCAGAGTTACAGAGAGGCAGAGAGAGAGAGAGGTCTTCCATCCACTGGTTCACTCCCCAAATGGCTGCAATGGCCAGAGCTGGGCTGATCCAAAGCCAGAAGCCAGGAGCTTCTTCTGGGTCTCGCACAGGGGTGCAGGAGGGGTGCAGGAGCCCTAGGACTTGGGTCATTTTCTGCCGTGTTCCCAGGCCATAGCAGAGAGCTGGATCTGAAGTAGAGCAGCTGGGACTCGAACTGGCACCTATAAGGGATGCCGGCACTGCAGGCTATGCCACAGCGCCGGCCCCCTGGATTTTTATTTTTATTTTTTTAAATTTTTTTGACAGGCAGAGTTAGACAGTGAGAGAGACAGAGAGAAAGGTCTTCCTTCCATTGGTTCACCCCCTAGATGGCTGCCACAGCCGGCGCGCTGCGCCGATCTGAAGCCAGGAGCCAGGTGCTTCCTTCTGGTCTCTCATGCGGGTGCAGGGACCAAGCACTTGCCCACGGCCTTCCTGGGCCACAGCAGAGAGCTGGACTGGAAGCGGAGCAACCAGGACAGAATCTGGCACCCCAACCGGGACTAGAACCCGGAGTGCCGGCGCTGCAGGCAGAGGAGTGAGCTGTGGTGCCGGCCTGGAATTTTATTTTAATGAAGGAGGACGGGTCTGAACTTTGTGTTCAAGTTCTACTTGTTTTTAGTATGCTTGATGGCATTGCTTTTGTAGACATTTTTTATTTAACAAATTTCAGCAGATGTAAAGAATGCGTATTTATACAGTATCATGCGATGTTTAATTACATGTATACACTGTATTTATGGGCATTACTGTAATGTCTACCCACGGATCTGAGTGCTGGAACTCTAGAATTAGCTTAATCCCTTTTCCACGCAGGACCCACAGGGACTGAAAAGCAGATGCCATGACATCTGAGCCTGTTTTCCTCAGGAATGAACCATGCAGGCCCACCCCAGGCCTTGTGAAAGATTTATCCTAAAACAGAGCAATGAGAGGGGGCGGGGTGCTGCACCCCTGTCTGTCACTGGGGCAACACTGGAGCAAAGGAGTGGAAAGGGTCCGCTTGCGCCACTGTGTGCTGAGCTACCTTTTGAATGACACTGACCGGCGGTGGGCAGTGGTGCAGTTGCCGGTCTTTGTTCATTGCCAGCTCTATTTCTGAGGTCCCTTCCTCCCTTACATTTTCAGCAGTAATTTAATACCTTGAATAATAAAGTTTTACCTTTGGAACAAGTTACTCCTCTTCTGGCCTTTTTTTTAAAAAAATTAAAAAAAAATATTTATTTGAAAGGCAGTTACCGACAGAGGAGGAGGAAGAGAAAGAAAGAGATGAATTAGGCATCTGCTGGTTCACTCACCAAATGGCTGCAATGGCCAGAGCTGGTCCAGGCCGAAGCCAGGAGCCTGTGGCATCTTCCTGGTCTGCCACCTGGGTGCAGGGGCCCAAGCATTTGGGCCATCCTCTGCTGCTTTCCCAGGCTCTTTAACAGGAAGCTGGACGGGAAGTGGAATAGCTGGATCGTGAACCGGCACCCTTATGGGATGCCAGCATTGCAGGCAGAGGCTTAACCTGGTACGCCACAGTGCCAGCCCTCCTCCTGGGCTTGTTGCTGTTAATATCTTTTTGGGCAGTTTCTTCCCAGAGGGGCGTCTGGTGACTTGGAATTTGGGTGAGGCAGGGTGGGAATCCCCTGTCCTGTGATTGTGTGTGTGGGTTAAGCACAGATTGTTCTTGTACATGCTCCTCTTACTGCTCATCGACTCTATTTTGTTTTCCCATCAGTCCTGTCATGTTAATGCTCTGTATGCAGGTGTGCTCCCACCTGCCTGTTGAGCATTAGAGCGAAAGGTACTCAGGAATAATTTAAGCTTCCAGTCTATGGTTTTGCAATATACACAGGACTCACTTGGGATTGTACCATTCCCATCCTACATGTTTTTAAAGTTCCCAGTGATTATCAGCTGGATTTGTTCTTTAAACTGACTTGTGAACTACAATAGTATCATCCCCTCTTTTCAGAATCTTTAAAATTTATTTTCATTTTATTGAAACGCAGACAGACAGATGGAGAAAGATCCTCTGCTTCACTCCCCACGTGTCTGCAACAGCCAGAACTGGGCCAGGTGGAAGCCAGGAACTTAGAACTCAGACAGGACCTCTCAGTGAGGGTAACAGGGATCCAAGTACTTGAAGCCGTTTTCTGCTGCCTCCCAGGGTGCGTGGGAGCAGGAAGCTGGATCTAAAGCAGAGTAGCTGGGGTTTGAGCTGGACACTCCCAATTTGAGATGCTGGTGTCCCAAGGGGCAATTTAACCCCTGCACCAAATGCCCACTTCCAGATAAGGAATCTTAACACTCAGAGAGATTCAGTCACTTGGTTAAGATCAAGCAGCTGGAGGGTGCCAGCCTAATTGAGTTAAGATCTCTGGGTCTTTTCAGTCCTGGGAGCCAAAGCAGCTGCACACAGGACACGCTCTTCATGTCTTCAGGGTGACAGCTTATTGTAATGGACATATTTGATGAGGTGAACACGAGGAGCTAATTCAGTTTGGCAAACTGCCAGAGCAGAAATAAGTTAAAAATAGTCTTGGACAGGGGATTTGTCTGGAAAGATTGATAGGCTGGAGACAGGGGAAGGCTCTTCGTTCTCAGTAGAGCAAACAGCAAGAGCAGCAGCACAGGCAGGGAGTTCCGGAAAGAGGAATACGTGGCTAGATGCACAAAACACCACTAGGAAGTGGCAGGGGAGCTGGCCGGACAGGTAGGTGGTGGCTTAAATTTGGAACGTGGTTTGAACTTCAGTCTGGGCAATGAGGAACCATTGAAACGTTTTCACATTCGGTCTTTAAAAAGTGGCTGGCAGCAGTATGGGGGCAGGGGGTGAGGCCTGGGGAGGGGAGAAGCTGAAGACAAGATGGCCAAGTTCAGTGTTGGTTGCTGGCTGTGGGTTGCAGGCAAAGGTCAGCCCAAACCAAGGCGGTAGGATTGGGGGGCTGGTTGGTGTGACCTCCTTGAAAGAGAATCCCTGGGGCTTAATGAGGAAGAGGAGGGTTTAGGTGAAGGGCTTTCCATTGGACATCACTGCTCCACCTTTGCTCAGAGAGGAGAGACCCATGCTGTGTCAGTGGGACCAGGGAGACCCACAGGGAGTGCAGGGCCTACAGATCCCTTAGGAAATGTTTGCTAAGCTCCCTCTATCATTTGAACCCATCCTCTGACCCAGATGAATCTGATCTCTCTCTGTCGGTGTGTTGGCCTCTTCCTGAGGGCTGGTGCTGATACAGTGTTATCAGAAGGCAGCCTTTGGATTGGGTCATAACTGTCTTGTGATAGAAGTAGTAAACCTGGCTGTAAGCTTGCAAGGCACATCTGTCCCCAAGCCAGGCTCTCATCACCTCTAGACCAGAGGCTCTTTCTTGGAGGTGCCTGGACCCTATACTGGAGAGGAAGGATTGGGACTTTGCACCATCATATGCACTGGGTAGGACTCTTTTTTTTTTTATTTATTTATTTATTTATTTTTAAAGATTGATATATTTATTTGAAAGGCAAAGTTACAGAGAGGCAGAGAGAGAGAAAGAGAGAGAGAGAGGGAGAGGTCTTTGATCTGCTGGTTCATTCCCCAAATGGTCAAAACTGCCGGAGCTGAGCCAATCCAAAGCTAAGAGCCAGGAGCTTCTTCCGGGTGCAGGGACCCAAGGACCTGAGCCATCTTCTACTGCTTTTTCCAGGCTGTAGCAGAGAGTTGGATCGGAAGTGGAGCAGCGGGGACACGAACTGGTGCCCATATGGGATGCCAGCACTGCAGGTGGTGGCTTTACCCGCTATGCCACAGTGCCGGTCCCATCTAGGACTCTTTGTAGGCATCCAAAGAGGGCTCTGGCTAAGTTAAGCAAAAAGGAAATTCATTGGAAGGCTCCTGACTAGCTCACAGATTCCAAGGTCCTGCTGAGAAACCTCGCGTGGAAAGGGATCTGTGGAGCAGGCATTGATCTCATCACATCTCTTGCAAGGCTAAAACCAGCTCGACCTTTGATTTTATTCTTGTGTCTCTCCCTTTAGGATTTGGCTCCCAGTTCTCATTGTTCCACCTTGGCTCTTGTGCCTCTCCTGTGGATAGGAATTAGGGAAACACATTTGATTGACAATGTCATTATGAATTTGACATTCGCTTTATGACGACCTGTACAAGAAGGAGAAGTGGATACTGGGTGCCAGCTGGCCTCCTAGAGCAGATAAGTCACATGTTTGGCCTCCTGCGAGGGGGCTCTGACATTGGTTCATCGCAACCCAGGAACAAGGCCGTGTTCCCTCCTGTCTC